AACATCTGAAGCGTCTTAAGTACAATTAAGTCATGGTAAAGTGTGTCACATGCAACGGTCTTCAATTTGATAAACGCCTTAATAATCGTACACATGATAACAACATGTTCGAGGCTTAGATCTGGTCAACGTACGGGTTCCTTAAGAAACGCGGAAAAACGTGTTGAGGCCCCCAAAAGAATATTCCTTCAATTCTTCCTATTTTTATTTGTTTAAAGATGTTATCCTTCGCAAATTTGAAAAACATCAGTTGCTAATCTCCAGATTTTATAAAGAAAAGAAACGGAGATACTGTTACAATAGTACTTTTCTTACAATGCTTTCCTTTTGGTGCCCAACAATTGCATGAGGGCATTATGAAACATTTCATTCACATTTTCGAATCTGATGCTATGTCCACCTTGCATAAAATATCTTTCTGTTTTACATAAAGGATGGATACTATAAAACTTAGGACATTTTATGCTTTATACAGTTCAGTCCAAACTTTAGATCTAGTTAAAAGCTCAAAATGATTGGCTTCCTAACATTGGCTGTAATTGTACAGAGTGCTTTCGCTGGAAACCTCGTAGAAGTTCTCCAAAACGACGGGGAAACAACTCTTATTGCTCTTGTACAGCAAGCAGGATTAGCTGATGCTTTGTTAGGAGGTAAGCTAAAAACATTTGAATAAATGATTAATGAAAACTGTGTTATAGTAAGTTAAAAAATATGTAAATAAATGATCAATGAATACTATATTATAGTAAGCTAAAAAATATTTAATTAAATGATTAATGAATACTGTATTATAGCAAACCAACCATAGTGAATGTTTCATGATTACAAATATTAAGGGACTATAAGAATCTCAACCACTCATTTTACTTCTGTTTATAATAATTACGAATTAATATAAGTAATCTTTATACCATATTTTATAAATAAAGAATCGTCTACAATTATCGGAATTTCCTCCCTCGACATTTGTCACTGGAAGATGTTTAACGGTCTTTTAATAGAACATCCTGAAATATCACGTGGTCAAGGGGTCCATCCACAAAGCTGATGCCTCTAATGAACTTCAGTTGGAGACTTTGGCGGGAACCAAAATCAGATTCAACATCTACAGTCATAATCATGTGAGTCATTTCTCTTTCTTAGATCGGTTGATAGTCTGCTTCAAAATGTAACCGCTGGCTTTCAAAACAAACAACAGTTTCTTATCACCAAAGCAAATTCTGAAGTACAGCTACTGTCGACTGTTCACTTCTGAAATCCTAATATAAAATTTATTCTGCTGTAGGCTGTGACAGTTGAAGGATCCAAAATCACCCACTTTGATCTGACCGCATCAAACGGAATGGTCCACGTAATCGACACCGTTATGATGCCCCCTACAGGAAATATCGTGGATCTCGTGGCCGGCAACAGTGACCTCAGTACTCTCCTATCATTGGTCAAATCAGCCGGCTTAGCTGGTGCTCTACAGGGTGGGAAAACATCTCCATAGAGATAGTCTACATGTATCTAAAGAAATGTTCAGTAAGGTACTAGTTGTAACATTTTGTATCTGTTTTACAGGTGATGCCCTCACGGTTTTTGCGCCAACCAATGCAGAACCAAATGTAGATTTCTTTTTGAATTTAAGAAATCAGACACGAATTCTCTTGTTTTTAAGCAAAAATATGGCGAAATAAAATATTTTAATGGTTCAACAATCGAGATATATACAGATGGTTAAAAGGATAAAAATAAAGTTGCATCAGCTGCTGTGATGGAAGGCAGTGTTTTCTCTACACGTCTTCCAAATAAAGCAACAATTTTTACTGCTGAAGCAAAAGTCACACAACTTGCATTTGAATATATAAAATCTTCTAGTGGAAAAAATATTCACAATATTTTCGGAGCTCGCTCTCTTGCTTACAATCTATACAAAATAAGAACATTGACCAACCTTACATTTTAGATGATTTTAGATATATTATTTAGCGCAACAAGGTGAAAAGGTAAACTTTTGTCGGATTCTGAGTCATGTCGGCATCCCTGGAGACACTAAATCTGACAGTGCTGCAAAAACGGCACTTAACATGAAATGACTTTATTCAAAATTCCTTACACTGACTTGAAATATCTCGTTAAAATATACATTGATTCTCTTTGGCAAATTTATTGGAATTTTTGTAATAAAAGTAAGCTTTATGCTATTGAAAACAAAGTTAACAAGTCATCTAACTTCAGTCTGATACGCGCGTCAAGACGAAGTAATTATATCAAGAATACGTATAGGCCACTCAAATATTACACATGAATACATGTACCTATTGAATTGGGAGTCTCAGCCAGTATGTATATCGTGTGACTGTCCGATAACTATCAATCATATCCTTTTAGAATGTAGAATTTTACGCCTATTCGAAGTAAACTTTTTTGAAATATTAAAACAATGTATGAGGTTTTTACAAATGTACATGTTAATAAAATTTTAGAATATCTACTAGAAACGGATTATTATAGTAAAATTTGAATAAATTCATTTTTGATGAGAAATACATATATCAATTTATTTTATCAACAGTTTATACAATATTTTTTAAGAGTTTACACATTTTCCAAGAAATTTTAAGTCGGTCGGACGGGACGTAAAAATGGTGCCCCGTGTCAAGGATGACAACCCCCTTAGCACGAAAAAGATCGTTTCTCTGGGGTTTGAAAAAGAGTAGGCTCTTAGGGGCGGGCACAGAAACCAAAATCTTTCAAAAACCGATTATTTAAACTTATAGTCGGCATTAAACAATATACAGCAAAAATCGTTTAGTACGAACACGGATATTACGAATTCATGGATATATCGAAGTCATCTTAGATTCCCAGCTATTTAAATTTAATGAATTTCTTATACGGTTATAACGAATTACGGATATAACGAAGTGATTTCATAGGTCCCAGTGACTTCGTTATAACCGAGTTTTGCTGTACAATCAATCAACAATCAATCTTTACTATTCTAATTTCCCTAATTTCCCTGTGGAATTTCTAGACGTTCATTTTTAGCCGGGCTTATTGCTCAAAGAGCAATTGCCGGCTTATGTGATCCTGTTCAAGGCAGGATGTTAACCCCATAGTCGCCATTTCAAAGTTACGTGCAAAAATATAGTTCTTACTCTCAGCCGCTTTTGAGATAATACAAACGCTAAATAAAGCAACAAAAATAAAACGAAGTTTTATCTATATAAAATAAACATTAGTAGTATTGACTTTGAAAACTTCATAAGTCAAAGAACATAGTTCATTAGCGTAAGGGTTTTTGATAATCAGTGTTACCGTAGTTCTCTACACATACGAGGTAAAGCAGGGGAGGGAACCAGATTCCGCCTGTTTGTTTACATTCAGCTGCGGTACCAGATTAATTCTGATTCTGACAAAATCGAACCGTGGTATTAGGATTGAAAAACTCACTGTCAGTGTCTTATCATATTGATAGTTTTAAAGTAATTTTTTCATCAGAATATAAACGCGATTCATGTAAGAAATCCATTCTACTCTGTAAATGAGCCCGGCTCTCTGTACTTCTGAGTACTTTGATTAGCTCTACTGGCCAGAGACCAGAAGAGCTAATGTGATAGTAATGCGTCCGTCGTCCGTAAATAATTTTTCAAAATGCTACTCCTCCTACAGTTTTGGTCTGATTTCAATATAATTGATTGATTGTATGTTGCTTAACGTCCCTCTCGAGAATTTTTTTCACTCATATGGAGACGCCACCACTTGCCGGTGGATGGCTACAAATTTTCTCCTATGCTCGGCACTCAGGGCCTTTGAGCAGTGAGGGATCTTTTTCGTGCCAGCACCTACTGCGACACGGGGCCTCGGTTTATACGGTCTCATCCGAAGGACCGGTCTCCACGTCCCGCAGTGGGATTCGAACCCGCGACGTAAGGATTGACTCTTTACTTCACGACTCTAGAGCAGACGCTCTAACCACTGCGCCACGCCGGCGACGATTACAATATAAATTGGCACACAAGAAGAGTAGACTAAAATTCATAATTCTGTCGATCGGTTTTTGATTTCGATGAACAGTGTTGCCTTGGTTACTAAAAATAGAAGTTTCTGTGAAAAACATTCAAAATGCAACTCCAAATACAATTTTAGTCTGATTTAAATATAACTTGGCAAACAAGTGGACTACACATAAATATATAATTCTGTATATTGATTTTTTATTTCGATGAAGGGTGTTGCCATGGTTAGCACAAATAGAAATAACTGTGAAATACTTTCAAAATGCTATTCAAAATAAGTTTTAGTCTGATTAAAATATAATTTGGCATGAAAGTAGACTACACAGATATATACCTGGGTATAATTTTCAGTTTTGTGTTTTTGATTTTGATGATGGATGTTGCCATGGTAACTAAAATTGAAATTTCTATAAAATTTTAATAAAAGCTTCTCCTACAGTTGTAGTCTTTTTATTGCAATCTCGCTACAAAAAAGAGACTTAATCAAGGATTATTAACCTTTTTAAAAATGCTTTGTAAAGTTGTAAGTCCCAACTGCTAATTTTCTCTTCCTTTATAATAAGTATATACCAGAAGAGCTACAGTCTCGACAAAAACTATGGTTTATGCTTACATAGCACTGAATATTTGTATTATTTTGAGTATTTTTTTAGATCGATCATTTTCTTAACTTATTTTAGAAATTCTGGAATACCATGTTGTTCCTCACACTGAATACTCTGCCGGTCTTTACAACCGCGAACACTTGAGGACATTAGATAGTCATCATGACGTCATCAGGCTCTCAGCCAGAGGTAATTTTCGATGATATGCACTTTGAAAAGTATAATCAGCATTCAAATCACTTTTTATTATCGATTATCATGCAAATCATTTAGATTTTATTTTTTATCCGAATAGATTCAATATCTTTTAATTTTTTTTCCGAAAAGATTGCTTAAATTCAAATCGGAATAAAATCTTATGGTTATCTAATATAACTGAATAAACTAGATAATTATTTCTTATGCAATTACTATTTCAGGAGAAGCTGTAACAGTGAATAGAAACGCCCATGTTATCCAGGCGGACATCAGCGCTACTAATGGAGTCGTACATCTCATTGATCACGTGCTCATTCCCGCTAGATATCATCTATCATCTATTCTAGGATAAAACTAATTTAAAATATTTATTTTTTCCCCTAATGTTATTTCATTTGTTAATGCATATTATGTACATATAATTTCATGTTTGTAAATATTTCATCAAAATTTTATTTTGTCAATAAATTATTCTTAAATACTAAGTACTGATTTTTTTTAAATTACGGTGATTATTGTATATATATATATATATATGTAAATCTTTTTAAAAAAGAACACGAAAACCTAAAAACTAAAGGTTTTCGTGTTTCTTTTTTAAAAAGATTTACCTGTAAACTACCGAGCACTGTGGATTTTTTTCTGTTTCAATATATATATATATATATATATATATATATATATATATATATATATATATATATATATATATATATATATATATATATATATATATATACAATGAATATTTGCTGAGAAATGAAAAAGAAATTGAAACCTCATTTCACTATGTGCACTTTCTAATACAACTACAAATAGATCATCCACTGCTGAAGTGCTTAAGTGAATAATTGCGCACATCCGTGTTTTATAGGATCATCTTTCCGCTTCAACAATGAACATTCGTATACAGGTATAAAAGGGGGTTCAATGGTCTTGATTTCAAATGAAATAAATTCTCAGTTTAATCTTGCAGTTATCCCCGTTTAATAATAAAATGAGCAATTTGACAAATTACAACGAAGTTTCCAAGGTTTACGACGGTGGAAGAAAGGCTTTTGATGGCCACGTTCTCAAAAGTACGATGGAAAACTTCACAGGAAAGAAATTTCAGGTAAAAAGTATCTTTTGTTGTACCCTTCCCCCTTTAAAAATGATTAATAAATAGATCTTTTTATATCTGTATGATTTCATCTACTTTTAGGAAATGGATATAATCGACATTGGCTCTGGAACAGGAAATTTTTTCCGAATATTTTATTCAATTTGAGCCGCGAAGTCTGACATTACTGGATGCTAGTGAAGGAATGCTTAACAAGGCTCGAGCAAAAGTGAAAACGCCATCAAACAAGACTCAGCTGACCTTCAAACAAGCAGTTCTTCCGGAAATACCGTACCAAGACAATTCATTTGACGCTGGTATATCAACCACGTAAGTGCATTATTATTTTAATTTTCAGGCGCAAAGTATCGAGAGGGATGGGCGGGGGATGACTGCCTCAAACAAAACTTTTTTTCTATTCAAAATAAACATGTAAAGGCTGCATGGTCGACCTCTTTCCCTTACTTTTGTATTGTAGCAACCAGAAATTGCCCCCCTCCCCCGAAAAATAAATGTATCTTTTTTTATTTGCTAAGTTTATGTTTTGTTATTGCTAGAATAAACATTCTTTAATTATATTTATTTGGTAGGTCGTGCATCATTTGGAAAAAAATCCTGATGGCGAGTCGTATCCAGTGTTGCTTAAGACACTGAAGGAAGTTTACCGAATCCTCAAGCCAGGCGGAGTGCTGACCATTATAACGGATACACCAGAAAATTTGGAAGGAAATTGGTTTGTACATCTTGTACCAGGAGCCATGAAGAAATGGCATAAGCTGTTACCCACCCATAAGCAAATGAAAGACATGCTGAAAAACTCTGGATTTACTTTGAAATCGGCTTTTAGATCATTAATGATGTCATACTTTCCTGCTTATGGGGACTTGGATGGACCTATTCATGAATCTTGGAGAAATTTGAATTCCTTTTGGGATGTCTGCACGGATGCAGAAATTCAGAACATGGTCAGAAAAGTGACACAAATGAAAAAAGAGGACACTCTCCAAAAGTACTTCGAAACTCATCATAAAATTGATAGTACTGGAGCTTATGAAATTTTTGTTGTCAAAAAAGAACTGTAGGTGATGTTTAATAAAAAAAAAAATAATAAAAAAATGTTTTAATTTTAAATTGTCTTGGAGTTTGGACTTCACGCTCACTATTTATATTTTGTTTCATTGATAGTTTTTGTATCTACAAAGAAAATGAAATATATCTTACTTTATTTTGTCAACAAGAAAGCCAAATACATGTATTTAATTTTTAAAAGTTATGCTGACTTCAATAATCGATCGTTAATTCATTGTTAAGCAAGTGATAATGCATGAAGATTTTATTACCTATTGAGAAGCAAGCAATAATACAAGAACTCAGATGGGTATTTTTACCTCCTAGTATTGAATTTCCTAAATTGTGCATGGCAAGGCTGATTAAATTCAATAACAGTGCATGCACATGTGTTTGGTTGAGCTGAGAAATAAAAAACATAGGTGTCGATCGAACCGGTGGGGTGGGCGAGCTTAGTCCCCCACTTTTTTTTTTTTTTTTTTGGAAAAGATAGATATAAAAAAAGGCATTAAACATTGGGGCGTAGGGTTTTTTTGTTTGGCATGTCGATAATTTCTCAGTTTTGATTTTTTTTCTTTTTCAATTACCACCCCCCCCTCCCCCTTTCATTTTTTTTTGATGCCAATATGAAACCAGTTATGACAGACTTTACAAACTCTTAAGAAAGTTTAGCAAAAATTTGATAATTAGCTAGATTGCTTCACATAATTTTGACATTGAGCCTATAAAGCGATTACTATGAAACGATGGTCTTATAGCAAGATGACAATGATGCAACGGTACGCCTACCTAGTGAAAGTTACTGAGAAATTCGAGATTAACGTATGCTATCTTAGTAAATCTACTAAATACCTAGTAAAACTACTTTTAAGGTTATGATTGTATAGACAGTAAATTTACTAGTCTTCTCAGTGACTTTCACTTGTTATTTTTTTTCAGTGTATCGCACCATCATCATTATACACCATTCTATATGTATATTGCAATGTCATTGCCCGTCATCGACTGTTGCTTCATCATCATCGAAACATCACTTCATTTTTTATCACATTATCTTACCATCTACCTTTTTGATCCCTGAACATCCTACTTCTCTTGATTTAAGCCCCCCAAAAAGGATTCCTCATAATTCTATGAAGAAAGCTAGCTAATTATCCAATTTTCACTAAACTTTCAATAAGAATTTATCGTAAAGTTTGTCATTGCATTGTCGTCGGAAGCAATATTGAAAATTGGTTTGGGGAGGGGGCTAATTGAAAGTGTATACCTATAGGGTTTGAGACAATTATTTTAATCAAGAAATTAAAAATAATAAAACTATTTACAATGTACGTATTACAGAGTACATTGAGGTTTAATCCAATCGGGATATTAAAGTGTAATACCCTTCCGTCAAAATAAACAAACATGTTAATCAGATTAAGGACAATGTGAGCCACCAAGATATTTGGGCCCGCTTCACTCCCCACAAGCGGAGTTGGGAGTGAAGCGGACCGAAAACTCTTGTCTTGCGAAGATGGGAGTGAGTATGCGATTTCTGCGTCCATGAAATAAAATCGGGTTTGGTATACATTAAAATCTCAACTGTGAAACTGTTTACAAAACATTTGGCAAAATTTGGTCTTACAATAAAAATGAAAATTCATCCTGGGAATCATCGTATCAAGCAACGGTTCGGAGTCCGCATAGAGTACATTTTGGGTTTGTGACGATGACTAGGAAAAGGGTCACTACTTTTTGCCGACTCCATTCAAGACCAAAGAGGCGTGTGCCCACCAGGTATAATTAACTGATTAGATGTTTAATTATGAAATGTGTATCCTACACGATATAAGACTAACATGTTTTTTCTTCAATAATCCATTAAATAATATTATGAATGTTTGTCGTATTCTACAGCCTACTGTTCTAAATATATTCCCTTTAGGCCGGCTTAACCATTGACTTAAATTGTTTAAAGGTGTGTTTGGTTTTGATGATTCATCTGTGCATATCCAGATATCTGCATGCCATTCGCTACAGTAGTTACATGCAGTTATTAGTATCGACAGACAATTTTGGATACTAGTATAACTGCGTATATTAATTGTACATGTCAATAATATAGACACTCATAGACACTCCACATCTCAATTGTTAAAAAAATCATACATATAGTAGATGTATATTTTTAACAATGAAGATGGGGAGTGTCTATGATGTTATTGTCCAGTATACATCTTATATCAGAAGGCTGGTAACAAATTTAAAGGTCAGAGATGGGCAATATACGATAATGCTTTATCCCTTACAACTCCTTTGCAAGGGATAATAATAAATAGGTATCAGTAGTGCAAATAAAATTATTCTACCTTAGCTACTGTTAAATCTTCAATTTATGGCACTTATATAAATGCTACTCTAAAGTGCCTGAGCGTAAGGTTTGTGATTGTTTTTTTTTTGTTTTTTTTTTTGTTTTTTTTTACAGATGTATATTAACTTTACCAAAGAATTAAGTACGGTAGTTATTATACGGAGGCCCACTATTTTCCGTAATATAATATACAGGTTTGTCAAAATTTTAAATCTATGTGCATGTACTAGATGATTGGTAGTTTTAGAATATGAGAAGCAAAATTTCCACACTATGTTATATATAGACGTACAGACCACGTTTAAGATCCGTTTTTTCCGGATATTGCTAGTTTTTCCACTATTTTCGACAGATATTTCTAAAATTGAAGTAGTGCACACCCCTCGAGCAAAATAAAACACGTTTATTTCAAAACATTTTGATGAAAGACGGATGAAAACAGGGATAAGATTTTGCTCGAGGAATGTGCAGTATGTTTATTTTGACTTTACAGTACTATTTCCGGTGGCGGTTTGAAAGTTCATTGAGAGATGTATTTTTATTATGCCCCCCTTCGAAGAAGGGAGGGCATATTGCTTTGCTGCTGTCTGTCGGTCGGTCGGTCGGTCGGTCTGTCGGTCTGTCGGTCTGTCGGTCCACTTAGTTTCCGTTCATTTTCTTCGCAACCGTTGCACATACTGAAATCAAATTTGGTATACAGATATATCACATGAATATCTAGGTCAAGTTCTGTTTTGGGTACAATGGCACCATTTTTGACAGAGTTATGCCCCTTGGACTTAGAAAAATTTCAATTATTTACAGTTTCCGCTCATTTTCTTTGGAGCTGTTGCACATACTGAAATGAAATTT